ACCCAAAATGTACCAAAAAACAACATAGTAAAAATTAAAAAAATCAAAAGCAACCATATGAAGAAGTTTATATATAGAAACAAAACAAAAAAAACTCAAAACAGAATCTAATGATGATTACATAACCGAAAATATACAATGTCGGACAGCATTCGCCGAATAGACCAGTGAGCGGTCAAGAAATAACCTATTGCGTGGAAAAATTAAAAAAAAAAACAGAAATTTAAAACGATGTTACAGCCTTTTCAGAATTACTAATTGCTATTTAATTCTAAAATTGCTCTCCTTACTGGGATTCGAAAATACTATTAATTATTTGGTGTAGAATGTGCAATTAGCAGTGAATACTCATCCTAAAGGATCTAAATTCTTCTCATCACTAATGATTAGATCAGCGTTGATTCGTAATCAACCAACAACTTACTTTAAACACTAAAATTGCTTAATACAACGCTAGTATATTCGTGTTATCATTAAATGGATACACAATAATTTCCACATCCCGTAACTTCTATGAACGCATCGATAGGCAAATAACACGTGCACAGCTAATGGCAACGGAATAACTTCAATTACGGATGCAAAATGTACGTGTGAAACATACTCTTTATCAGAGTCATTTTACTTATTTAACTTTTGGCTTTATATGAGCTACAATAAATAAATATTTTTATAATTAACCACTTTGTATGCAGATGTGGGAAATGGAGGCTAATAAACTAATGGTTTTTCATGAGATACTTGGTGTGAAAATGACTGCAATAAATAATTATTTGAAAAATATGCCATTACATGTATTTTATATTAACGTCGTGTGCTACAAAAATACGTTAAAAATCCATAGGCGGGGTTGTACCTTTATGCTCAGTTAATATTTTTTAAATTTATTTATTTAACTTCCAGCATCCAGACGACAGAATTAAAAGCGTCAATTTTTTTGAAAGAAATAAAATCTCGGGATATTTAATTGTATGTCTTCTTTTTGATAGTTTTTCAGAGTTTGTCTACTTAAAGTTTACATTTGGACCAATTTTTAAATCGATCCTATCTTGCTAAATTTACTACACAGAATTTTGCTGATGTAAATTGTTGTCATTTTCATTTTGCTTTTAAAAACAAACCCAAAACCCAAAACAAATTTATAGGCATGATACCAAACCCAAAATATAGAGAATGAACGATTGTTAGTATTAGTTGTTCCAAAAAAAAGAAAAGATTATTTTGTATTGGTATTTAAGGGGGGCGTCCCCGCGGGCGTCCAAGCACTTAGGCCACCAGAGGGGCTTGTTGTCCCACGGCGCTAGTCCAAAATGCCGCCCCTCCTATAGAAGGTAAGCAACTCCTTTAGTCCAATACCGTGCACTGAGTCCGGATCGATCAGGGCCCTTCCGAAGACTCCAAATCTTGCCCATGTCAAAGCAGGGCACTCGGTGAGCAGATGATACGGGGTCTCCTCCCCTTCCATGCACCACCTGCACTCCGGGTCTTCTCCAATGCCTAGCAAGCAAAGATGCCTCCTAAGCCTGCAATGTCTTGTGTAGGCCCCTGTTAGTGATCTGCACTCCCTTCTGGGCAGTACAAGCAGATCCCCGGTCCGAGGGAGGGCGGGCCCATCCTTCATAAGCCTCGCCTGCCTCATTCCCGGAGCAACCCTCCAGCCCATCACGGCCCGTTCTCTCACCCGGGCTTCGAGAGCTCCCCGCTTCAAATTAGAGTACGTAATATTCCCAATAACTAAGCATATTGAGTAAAACGCCAAAATTTAATAACACGCAAGATATGTAAGTTTGCAAAATGGGAAACATTTTTTAGCTTTGTGGACAATCAAGCCACTACATTATTATATGACTTTGTTACTAGAAAATGGGAAACAAAAGCTCCAAAAACTCCAGGAAAACTTTGATAAATGAATAAGTAGTAGGTAGTAGGTAGGTAGTTGGTAGAAAGTAGATACTCAGTCATGATAACATCTACTCTCGTTGTGCCAATATTCGCTGAAATCGGTGTAAACAAAAAATGGCAGTGAAGTAAATTTCCTTAATACCCTCGCATTGAGGCGCCACATTCGAAAAAGGTAAAACATAAAAGCTGACTTGACTTTTTACCCAAACCATTACAAGTTCTTGCCACCGATAACATTCCATTACGCCGCAAATTCTCAAAAATGTAACTAAATTTCTTAGCCGCCATTGCAATTAAACCTAACGAACGATATTGCTTATGTTCGCCTCCTTTTTCTTTCTGTTTTCGCGCTGCAAATCAGGGGTGGGCCAGTGCGATTTCCTTGAATTATTTTTCGTCTTGTAATATTGATTTGTTATCATGTTGAAGCATATCACAGATTTTAATACAAATAATTAGAAGGCTTTAGATCAAGAACCTAGTGAAGTTTTATTCTGAGTATTATCTATTCTTTCAACCAAGTCCAAGCGAGAGCTATGCCGACGTTGCAACGCTAAATGATAAAAAATTGCAATCAACATATTTTCCGAAAAGCCAGCTGATAAAGAATTAGTTTTTTCCTTCCTGGTCCATAGCGGATACACAGATACAAGCCGATTCAAGCAACTATGGAGATTAAGAAAAATATATTTGCAAAAGCAATACACAATAGCTTCATCAGAAAAGGACTGCCTGTTTAAAATAATGATATACCCGATTTGACAAAGAAAATGAAAACTAATAATAGATAAAAGGACGAACTGACATAATAATTCCGAGGCTCGGGCCGGCCCTGCCGTTTTCAATTGCCAACTTCGGCCCTTTTTTGGAGTCTGGTTCGTATGAATGGACATACAACCAACGTTACAGACACCATTAACTTTTAAAACTTGTTAAGGCGAATCAAAAGGAAGAACTCGCTGAGATTGTAAAATGTTGTTACCGTAATTATTGTAGAAGAGTTTCGCGACTTAAAGTAAAATTCTGGTGTATACAGGGTGATTCAAAACTAAAGGGACATGAAACGGTTAAGAATAATGAGGTACGATATATTTGTGCAGTGAGTGAACCAGTTACGTAAGTGTTAAAGCAGATAACTTGACAGTTATATGTTGTCTTATATGAGGGATTTTAATCGATAAAGTAACTGCTTACAACTTCAATTTAATTTTAGCTTTTAAACTTAAATAGCAATATAAATATATAATAAAGACAAAAATTTTAGTTTTTATTTTTCAGTTCTTTACGTGTTGTATTCGTCAACTACTGCGACTACTAAACCTAGCTTAAAATTAAATAGGTAACTTTTAGTAAATATTTAGTAACAACTTTTTTAACAGGAGCATAATCCCCGACAAGAAAAGTCACTATTTGTAAAGTATCCTGTGTTATTTTGTTAAAAGCTGGGACCAGAAGTCGTTTGTTCTTTCGAAGTTATTAGTTTGTCTGCATAAATCTTCTTCTTTTTGGCACTACAACTCTGGGTGAGTCTTGGCCGCATACACTATTGTCCTCCAGCTCTGTCTATCCTGAGCTTCCAATTCCCAAAGGGTTATACCCATTTTCCTCGCGTCCTCCGTAACTGCGTCTTTCCACCTCCTCCTAGGTCGGCCAACAGATCGCTTTCCTTCTGGCCTTTCACAGTATATGATATTTAAGAGTCTCTGATCATTGCTCCTAACAACATGCCCTGCCCATCTCAGTCGACCAGATTTAATACATCTTACTATGTTTTCCACACCATATAGTTGTTCAAGTTCATTATTATTTCGACGTCTCCATTCTCCTGTTACAATATCCCTGGTTGATCCAAAAATCGCTCGTAGTATTTTTCTTTCGAAGACCAGAAGCTTGTCGGTTTCTCTTTTGTTTAGGACCCACGTTTCGCTACCGTATGATAAAACAGGGCGTATTATGGTCTTATATATTTTTATCTTAGTTCCTCTTGTAAGTATTTTGGATCTAAGGAATCCTGATAGCGCATAGAAAGCCCTATTTGCCGATGCAATACGTGCGGCTACCTCTTTTTCGTTCCTGTTGTCATCTGTTATTGTCGCTCCTAGGTATTTGAACTCTTTTACGACTTCAAAATTGTAGTTATCTATTGTAATATTTTGCCGTATTCTTTGCCTGGGGTTCTTAGACGTTATCATATATTTAGTTTTAGCTTCGTTGATCCTTAATCCCATTCTTTGAGCATGATTTTCAAAAGAGGAGAATATTTCTCTAACATCTATAGTATTATGTGCCACAGCATCTATGTCATCGGCAAAGGCTAACATAAGTTTCGTACCATCCGTTGCGAAACCCGGTGTTATTTGGGGAGAGATTTTCTTCATGGCCCAGTCCAGAGCCAGGTTAAAAAGCAAAGGGGATAGAGGGTCTCCCTGTCGCAGGCCTGTATGTATTTCAAATATTTCTGACGTAGTCTCACCAATTCGTACTTTTGCTTTGGAGCCCCCTACGCACATTCTAGTTAAACTTATTAATTTTAATGGGATTCCCAATTCCCTCATTGCATACCATAGCTGATCCCGGTTGACTGAGTCGTAGGCCTGCTGGAAATCCAAGAATATTTGGTGTATGTCTTTATTGAATTCCCAGCATTTCTCCATAATCTGGCGGACTATAAAGATTTGATCCGTCGTAGACCTCCCCGGTCGGAATCCACATTGGTAATCTCCTAATATTTCCTCGGCATATGGTGTTAGTTTCTGCACAAGGATCAATGTCACTATCTTATAGGTGGTATTTACCAATGATATTCCTCTATGGTTACGACAGTCCGCTTTCTTTCCCTTTTTATGGATTGGTATTATTATGCTACTGTTCCACTCATCTGGCATCTTTTCGCGTTTCCATATAGTTGATATGATCTGGTGTATCATTTGGTGTAGTTCATTTCCTCCGTTCTTTACGAGTTCTGCATTAATTTCGTCTTCCCCTGGGGATTTGTAGTTCTTTAATTTGTTGATAGCCTTCTTAACGTCATCTAGTGTAGGCGGTTCCAATTCCAATTCTGCAGTATAGAAGTGCGTGTCTTTGTCACTTCCATCTACTTATCTATTAAGCAGTTCAGAGAAATATTGCCCCCATCTTTGAATTATATCATCCTCCGACGTCAGTAGTCTTCCGGTGCTATCTTCTACAAAATTTAGTTCTCTTATCGTCTGTCCTGTTTTTCCGATTCTTATTCCTCTATAAAATTCTCTTACTTGGTTGTTCGTGTTGTTTTCCTCTATTCTTCTTACTCTTTCCTCCAAATGTTCCTTTTTCTTCTTTCTCAGTAGTCTTCTGGCTTTGGCACGTGCTATATTAAATATCTCCTTGTTTTCATTCGTGGGGTTCTCCAAAAAAGTCATTCTTTTTCTAGTCTTCTCATCCAATATATTTTTACATTCTTGGTCGTACCATCCATTTTTCTGACTCCCTGTTGTTGTTCCTATAGTTTCACTAGCTGCTTCTCTTACTATTGTCTTTAATTGTTGCCATTCGACTTCAACATTTTCTTCAGTAGTTTCAGTTTGTAGCATTTGCATTTTGTTCCTAATTGCTTCTTTATATTCTTGTACCTTTTGAAGTCTTGTAAATTTGTTTATGTCCCATTTTTTCCTCGTTTCTTTCGTGCTTGATCTTTTGGTGGACAGTTTCTCTTTCAATTTGGATCTTACTAAGAAATGATCTGAGTCACTATCTGCCCCCCGCATGCTTCTGACATCTTCAATATTACTGGAAAAACGACCATCTATCAGGACGTGGTCAATTTGGTTTTGCGTTACTCCATCGTTGGATACCCATGTTATTTTATGGATGTTCTTTCTTTGGAATTGAGTGCTCCTAACCGACATGTTCATTGCTATTGCGAAGTCTGCCAATCTGTCCCCATTATCGTTTGTTACGTTGTGTAAACTATGTCTTCCCACTACACATCTCAGATGGTCTTCCTTTCCTAGCTGGGCGTTGAGGTCCCCCATTATGATTTTTATGTCGTTCCTGGGAGCTGCTCGATATTCCTGTTCTAACATCTCGTAGAATTCGTCTTTCTTTTCACCTTCTGCTTCATTCGTCGGGGCATGTACTGAGAACATAGTTACGTTGTGCCACCTTCCTTTCACTCTGAGTTTGCATATTCTGTTGTTCACCGGCTTAAATGCTATAATAGCCGTTCGATATTTTTTGCTTACAACAAAACCACATCCGAATTCATGTATATTTTCAGACCCTGACCAAAACACTAAAGAGTTCTGCATTTGTACACTGCCTGTGCCTAGCCATCTAATCTCCTGAATGGCAGTAATGTCCATCCGGTACCTTTCCAATTGATCGATCGCTCTTGTAGCTATTCCTGGTCTAAACCAGCTTAAAACGTTCCATGTGCCTAATAGAATATCCTTATTTCGTAGCCTAGGTCGATTATCCTGGTTATCCGTCCGTCTCCGAGGCAAAAGTGTTTGATTCGCAGCGTATAAAGTTTTTCCATATGTAGGTTGCTGGCCTACAGTACAACCCCCAACCTGGAGGACCAGGTCTCAGAATTTATGACCCCCTGAGACAGGGTGGCTCGATTTTACCCCCCAAGCACCGGGTTGGCTGTTTGCAGAGGTGGCCCTCTGGGCGGTGGGGTCGCCACATCCCTACGCCAAATCTGCATAAATATATTTACGTAATTTTCTCCTAGTTTGTAGTGACAGGACAGACATGGAAAACTAGCCGATTGTTGAATATAAATCGAGTCGAATTTCAACGTATTCCCGAAGTTACTGTCAAAAGGGCAGAACAAAATCCTTAGGAATTTACGCTACTGCAGAGTCAGATGGCACTGAACGTGATATCGATTCGGAAGTTGCAATTAGTGATAAAGTACTACTTAGTTATAACAAGATTGAAATGTAATATATTGGCTTATTCTGTTATATTAAACTAGAGCTTTTGATACTGTGCATGCAACAAATTATCCAAAATAATTCCGATGATATTTCAGTCGGGAATCATTTACTCATTTCAGTGCAAAGGAAGTACTTGATGCGGCTACAAAGGTTAACGAGGACCTAAATTCACTATTCAATATATCCTCAGCTCATAAGTTCAAGCTTAATGGCAATAAGTCAGTGGGCATATTATTTGGACCACAAAAACATGTAACCTATGACCAGCTAAAATTAATATTGAATGAGGCTGATATAGGGCAAAAAATATCGGGCCTAGATACTAACCTGCGATTCACAAAAAATGTCAATTGAACTCTGTCAATGAAATGGATTGCTTAAAAAATTATCTCTGTGTGAGTCATTAATTATATATATGCTGATTCATTTATGACTCAGGTCTAAAGACGAGGAATAGTGACAGATTTCCGAAAGTTCAGAATTAAATATTTGAGACAATTTTACGTGCTCATTCTTACTAACAAATATTACAAATATTAAAACTAATCAGCCGTCTTAGTTCTCTAAAAATGTTGTATCTTTTATGCAGCCAAATAATATCAAGACGAGACAAAAAAGTTGCTACTTTTTACTCGATATTACACGGCATTATTTCAAAGATCTTTTTCCCATTATAAATCAAACCAAAGATCTTCCTTTGTTCAAATTCTCACAAGTGGCCTTCAATCAAGTAAGGGACGTTCTTGATAAATTAAAAAGTAAAATTTGCCAAGATCACTTTAGCATATCCATGAAAATTGAAGCAAATAAAGAATATTTTAATATACTCATTTGATAAATGCCCTAATGTGTACCCAAATATTTCAAAAATATCAAACATTTTTGCCATACATAAAGGTTACTGCAAACAACTTTAGACCTATTTTTATGGTACCTTCTGTATCAAAAATTATTGAATCAGTATTAAAAAACCAAATTAACAAACATTTTGAGAATTTTTATCTTTAGTTGGGTCAGCAATACGTAATGAGGGAGGGTAGATCAACCGACTCTACTATCACCAAGCTGGTTAAAGCTATAGTCAAAAGACAAGCTAACTTTACGAGTGCAACATAAAACATAAAATTATTACAGTTTTAATATGTTTCATTATTATAAAAAAAATTGTACCCCTCATATTAGTAACTATACTGTTTGAGTGTGTGGGCCACTCGACTCTATTAAAAAAATAAAACTTCGAGTACATTAGCATTGAGAAGTGGGGTTGTAATGGGACCTACCCTCTTTCTCATATATATCAACGAAGTTCCTGAATCCCCTTTGAATGATTGACTGGCGTTGTTTGCGGACGGCACTACTTTTTTAATATATTAAAAAGTCTTACTGAAGCGCTTGCTGAAACTAACTTTGAATTAACAAGAGCTAAGGACTGGTTTATAAAAAATAGCTTAACCCTTAACAAAGGGAAAACAGTTTCTTTATTTTTTCTCAAAGTCATTAATAGACAAAGTTCAAAATTCTTGGGAATTGATTTAGACCCTAAGCTAAATTGGTGTCATCACACAGATCAAGTGGCTAAAAAAATCTCAAAAAAAAAAACATTTTTCCCATACGTAACCTAAAGGGCACTGTAGATTGTAAGATATTATTGACAGCATTTCATGCTTTGATTGCCTCCCGCTTGCTTTGTGGTCTGATAAACTGGGGCGAGGCTCCCGGTGCTGCAAGAGTATTTCACCTACAACGTAGTTGAAATAAAATAGATACAAACCTTAAATACAGAGAGGATATTAGACCTAAATTTTCAGAGCTCAAAATTCTTATACTGCCAAGCAAGTGCTTACGTACTTAAGTGTCTAGTTGTCTAGTGGAAAATCGAACATATTTTTTACTTGTGAATAAAGTACACCCCTACAAAGCACAGAATAGGGACAACCTCAGACCTGATTTCTTCCGTTTTAATGCGAGTAGGCTAGGTTCAAATTACTACTGCATCCATTTTTTAAAATTAACTTAAGCTTGAGACAAAACTTAACTACCAATAAACAGGTTCAAAAAGTTAGTCAAAGTTTTTTTAATAAAGCAATCATTTCACAACTTGGAGGAGTTTATCTTTTTTCAAGATATCAATAACTATATCTACTCCCCTATTTCGGTAATAAGTTTCTGTGATAATCTTCGTTCAGTTTTAATGGATGTCCAGATGCTCACAAAGCGCTTTATGTTTTATGTATTTTGCTTTATGTTTTATGTGTAAATTATGTTGTAAAATTGTTATTTCATGTTATATTTCATTGCCATGACTGAAATTAAATGAAACATAAATCTCCCAAATTGATAAATAAACTTCCAGTTAATTTTTTAAATGACTTAAGCTTACTTAATGACCAAAAAAGGTTAATATGATAATGATAAGCAATATGGCTTGTATAAGGACTGAGAATTTCTTGAATTATTGAATTTGTTGATTGTTCAGATTGATCTCCATGAGTTTTTTTTTCTAGTATGAAAAAGATTAAGGTTTAAAGCGCCCTTTGGGTGACATTTCACCTATTTTTTTAATTTTGTCATGATTTAAGTTTCTTGCTTTTTGGATAATAAAAACACAATAAAAGATAAATAAATAAATGTAGTATTCTCTAAATGATCAGGCTACTGCTCAGTATTTAGGGAATTCCGCTAGTCTTCGGCTTTGCATAATAGATCGAATCTTCCAAAAATCGAATTTTTATAATTCACTGGTGTAATAAATCCGTGTATTGCTTACTAGTCACAGTTTACACGCGAAGACGACTCAATAGAATATGAGGACATATTCCAATATCTTCTTTAATCTCCAGCTGCAAAATCTCGAGCTGGGTAATTGGTAGAAAGTTACCCTTCAACCAAAGAAATTTTTCTTAAAGTAATAGACACTTTAAAGTCGACATTTGTTCCTGATGATTTATTTATTTAATATTAGTTAGTATTGAAAATGGTTGGTAATTTATAGAGAACGACAATCACTTAAAAAGTTTCCGACCTAACCCTGAAGATCGCGGCACTACTAATTACTAAAATCGCTAGGAGAAGTTACAAGGAGACTGTAGAGAAATAAAAATAAAATAAAGAAAAATACCTTCTATCATTGTTGGGTCGGAACCTTTTCAAGTGACTCTCGTAAACTGAAGCTAAGTAATCTAAGTAACTTAGAAGTTCAACTTCGAGCACTAGAAACTTTGCGTGTCATCACCGACAAGTATTTTTATGCTTTTTCCTGTGGTTCATATTAATAAAAATTAAGTCAGGAATATATTCAAGTAACTTTCTACAAGTTGCTACCATCTGGTCATTCCCTAAATCGAATTAATTTATTCAATTTTTCGGATTGTCTGTACGTTAGGCTGTATCCACCGCAAAGGATGAATCCCTCAATTTTTATTAGTAATTGTTTAGTTTATTTCAACACATTTCTGTTCAGTTTTACAATGTTCTTACTTATTTATAATAACTTTTGGATTTCAACAAAAATGTTTGAACCAATGCCGACCAATATCTGGCTTGTGTTTTCCTTCCATGTTAAAACTTAATTCAATGTTTCTAGCTAGTGCACGATACTTTAAAAAAAAATGATATTAGATTCAGAAATGAATAACGAAATAAACCATTCCCGGCAAGTTTAGCATGAAAAGGCCTTCTTGTGGCAGCAGGTGCACTCTTTAGCTGTCGCTATAACTCAAGGTGTCCTATCTACATAGGCCTATTCATTACATTGCATTCAATGTATTTGAAACGTAGGTACACATGTTTGCGTATTCGTTGTGCGGAGTACCCATCGTTTTATTAATTTTTTTTTCAGCCATTAAACCACCTGTGCTCGGAATAGTAATCGAAAGTTGCCGGCACGCACACATATCCGCCCGTGCTTTTCAATGAACATTTCTGCGATCTTGACTTTAAAGAAGGGTTATTAGATCCGCAGATAGCAGCTGTTGACAACGTAATACTGCCCATAAACATAAATCAAACTAAATCGTTACTTGTTTTAACTGTCTCGTTTTTTTTAACGAACCGTTAACGATTTTAAGTACCCGCCGATCCGATTCTTTGAATCAGTCGTGTTCTGGGAGAGGAATGGGCGGACTGAGTCGTGGGAGCATTATTTTTGTACATCTTTTTGCTCATACATTTCAATTTCAAATGCTAGACCAAACATTAGTTCGGACGTGGTCAGCGTGGTTTCCGAGTATTATATAAAAAGGAAATTTTGGTTCAGCTCACACAGAATATCAATTCTTTTGGCAACAGTATTTACTCTCGGCTATCAAACTTTGTTTGCGGCAATACGAGTGCATGATATATTGTGATATATGTATAACGCATGGATAATTAATAATTGTCTTTATTTTAAACAGAACAGAACAGCTTATATTAGAGCATAGGACATATTTTATATATAATATTTTATAGCCAAGTCTTACCTTTCCTGACATATTTTGAATTTTATGTCAAAAGTGACCTTGTTATATATTTGGGATTAATTTCCTTATAGAAAAGTATGTCTTGATATTTAAAAAATAGCTAGTAAGTAGTAAGGGTAGTAATATTAAAAATTTAAATGATGAAATCATTTTAATATTTTTTTCGCGTTTTTCATTTAAGAATCTAATGAGTTTGTATACGGTTCCCTACTGCAAAAAATTGTAGATTTCGAAATATTAGCAATAAGATGATTTTCCATTGAAAAAATTATTGACTATGAAGATCACTGCCAAACATTACAGCAAAAAGAAAACAACCCCCCTACTTACTGTGGTTTCTTTTATTTATCTCATAAATTTGCTTAATTTATAAAAAAGACACAGATTATATCTGAAATAGCGTTAGGGTTACACAACGTAGGATTTTAATATTATTATTATAATAATATAATTATATTTTATACTATTATTACTATACATTATTGTTTAATGTTACAAATAGCATTTTTTTTAGAATATTTGACTTAGATGGCGTAAAATTGTCAAACATCGATTTCCAAATTCACGGCAAGTCAACATAGCACCCTTTCTGTAGTATTCGATTGTCTTTTTTTCGTCGTGTTCCGTAGTCGTGGCATTTTTACAATGAAAAAACGGTTTATTGCTAATATTTCGAAATATACAACTTTTTAAAAGGGCAACCATATCTAGAAAACCAAATTATAGTCATTTTAACATAATAAACAAAACAAAATAAAAATTAGAATACTAAATATTAAATTTTAATCTTTTACAAAGAAAAATTGTTTCGCCATTCGTATCTCAAAAATCGAGCACTTGACATGTGAGTTGATTTTGCTTTATCTAGTTCAGAATTGGTATATTATGCAACAAGTGCGGTAAACGGCATTTGACTCACGAGTGTTTAATAAACGAGCGACTTATAAAGTTTACTTTTTCTACGACCGTTAGTTTTTGGGTACATTTTCGCAAAACAACTCGAATACATTCACTGACATGGCCATCAGAATTGACAAACGTCAAGGCGTGGGAATCTCCGAAAACATCCGATTGCATCCAAACCTGTGCGGTAAAAGCGCGGATATGTCCGAAGTGGCTCGGATCCGTAGGAAACGAAACTGACGTGCTAAAATGACATTTCGCGCACGCTGGATCGGTGTGTAATTACATATTCTAAAGACGGGACTAGAAAAAAGGTTTTTGAGGTTAAGACACTCCAATTACGGCCACCCTGTACATATATGTATTTAAAGTTTTAAACGTCAGTGACATAAAATTCAAAATATGTCAGTAAGACTCAGGTATAGAATATTATATATGGAATATGTTTATAATTTTCTGAATACTGTAAATAGTACGTTGAAAATATGTAGTATGTTTTATCAAAATAAATGCAGTATATCTTTTTTAATTAGAAATCATCAGTTGGAATAGTAATCCTCATCTGCAAAAATCCCTGATTCCAAGTTTCAATATCTCAAAAACGGCTTGAGCTTTAGGGAAACCACAATTTCGAGAACTAAACTTTTAAACTCCGTATTTTGCTGAAATTTCAATAACTAAATTTGTATTTCGCTAATGAGCGATATTTTACAAAAACATATTTGGTTCAAATTTTGCATATCTTACGATTAGCTCAACGAAAGAGATTTTTGGCTGTAGGAGTATAACGCCTGCGGCAAGATTTATGTTGGAACTACCAAAAGATCGGTGGGATTGAGACTCAAATTGAAAAGTCTGGAGTAGCCGCACACGCAATAATCAAAGGACAGTATATATTTTGAAAGCTGTGAGTTGCTAGCATTAGATCCAAATAGGTCGACTGAGGTGGAACAAACCTCGAAATTAGCCGAAGCCTAACGAGCCTCGAAGTCGAGATCCCCTCGAAGTTAGCTAAAGGGGAACGAGCGTCGAAGTGGAACTTATCTTGAAGTCAACTGAAGCAGAACCCGTCAATCGATATCAGTATACCTGCAACGTCGGAGACGGAACGACCTTTGAAGAAGCTTGCCACTCTTGCTAGTGAAATCTTAGAAAGCAATACCAAAACACAGCGGCCTTTAGTCCCAAAGTAGAACAACAAATATTTTTTTACTGTACTCTAGGCTACTCAACTATGCACTGATCAGGCATCGACAAAGTGCTGCGCTCCCAAATAACTGCGCCAAAATAAACTAGTGACTAAAGCGTGGTTTATAAAACATAATGGATAGTATTCGTATAACACGGATATTTCCGATACTTTAGTCAGGGTAGATATTAGCCTCATACTTATTTTTAGGCTTATTAATTCTGACGGTCACGTCACGAGTCACTCAGTGAATGTGTTTTGCAAAAACGTACCTAATAGTCTTACAAAAAGTATAATATGCCAACATGTTGATACACTTCTTCAGTCACTCGTTTCTTAAGCACTGCCTCCTCTTATGTCGAATCAAATTGGGGACCATACTGGCGTAAAACGTTAAGTTTCGCTAAATAATGTTTCGAGCGTTTCCGATACATTAGTCACGTATTGGGAGCGGTCGGATGTTGTAGTCTCAGTTTTTCCTCAAATGTTACGGTGTTAGCTACAGGGAATACTTTTACTGTAAATTTTGGATCCGATTTAAATAACGGATCTATCCGATTTACTCAGAACGATTTTTGACCACTTCCGCATGTCTGTTTACTTCGGCAAACTCGAGTTTTTAAAAATCTTTAATACTGCATTTGGGAAATGGTAAATATTAATGATTTTCGTGACATTATTGGTGATTCCTTATTATTTTTTACGAAATATATTTTTTGTCATGAAATCTTGTTTTACTATCACAACGCCCATAGTGAAAAAGTAACCATCTAATATCCACAATTGCGCACTTGCATTTTTTTGCGTTTATTAAGGCATGATCAAAACAAATATAACAATGGACGATAAAAAATATTTGTTTACGAACCTCGCCTTTTCATTAACACAAATATTTTTAACAGTAACGTATTCCATTCCAATACCGAGCCAATAAAAAAAATTCATATGGATGTCTGTCTTAAAACGAAATGTTGTTGCCATTTTCACAGGCGACAACCTTTAAGATTATCTACATATTTTTTTAAACGAATGAACGAAAGCAGTGTTTCCATTTGCAATGGCAACAGAACATTTTATTGTACAACATTTTGTCATTGCAAATTAATTGAATGATTTATGATTTCCTGCACGGTGTTTTTATTTTTTCATAAAATATTCCATCATAAATTATTTAAAATAGTTTTAGGATAGTTTTATTGGTTAATAGGCGACGGAGGATTGCGATTACTTCCTTGTAAGATTTTTTGGTCAATATCTTAACCCCTGGCGTGAGAGAGCTTTAAAAAATCATATCAGCTTGGTGGCACTGCATACCAGAAATAAAAAATACCGTTCGGGTGGATCACGAAAGTTCATAAAATTAATGCAAGAATCGAAAGCGCCATTATAACTAGTACTAATCCAAAAAAGATTATAAATTTAAGAAATAAATGTATGGCTGTTATGACATCCAAAATAAAACTGCACCAGATTTTGAGAATGAGTTTTTTATGTATATCCCGAAAACTATGCGCCATAGGAATTTGAGGCAAAAAAGAAGCAGTAGATTCCGGCAAGATTAAGAACCATTTGATGAAGTTAGATTGGGCTTTTTTAAATAAAATCAGAATAAGGCAAACCCCATACAGCAATGTTGAGTATAGTTTTATAGTGCATGTTAAGAGCAGGATCTGTGCACTTTTGAGCTCTGGTTACAGAACATTCTGCTCTTTCCATGAGAAACAAAGAAAAAGTGAAAGTTACTCACAAATACGTATAACTACTTCAACAGGATTGTTATTTAGGAAAAACCACCTGGAACACTCAATAGTTAGTTTTATTCAGATATCAATTCTAGTACAAAAAAATTCTAGTACAAAAAAATTTTTAAGCTGCCCATATTAGGTCACTTGTTGGTAATATTAGATATTTTTTAAACAGCAAAGACATGATACTACTTTTTAAAGGTATAATACTCTAGATATACGAATAAAACCTATTGCTAACAATACAGATTTAATAAAACTTGAGAATTCATATTTAAAGAAACATTTAATAGTTCATTACCTAGCTTGATTGAAAATACCTAATAACAAAAATAAATAATTAAATTTTATACTCTAACTAACCAAGGTAACAAATTTGAATAAATAAATCTTTAAAAAAAGTTAAAAGCAAACCACAAAGAAATATCAAAATATTTAAAAATGTAGTTGGCTATGGTATCACCATCTTTTTTTTTGACGCCTTAAGGTATAAACAAACTTTCTGTTTGTTTTTGTTGTTTTTCATATTTCTATTTAAAAATGTCATAGTTGTCAAGTCTTTTGTTAATATAGATTTGATTTATATTTTCGATAAGTTATAGTTTTTTAGTTAACCTATAAAATTTAATTATATATTTTGGTTATTAGGTATTTTCAATCAAGCTAGATAATTAACAATTAAATGTTTCTGGGGAA